GCACGCACAGGACTGAACTTTAGAAATATACCAGATAAGAAACAAGACTGGAGCAGCCCCTATCATTGGTGTGGTATGATCAGTAAGCTAGTTGAATTATTCTTTTTTTTTTAAATGGGTTCTTGCATCCCCTTGGGTTAGAGCAATTGCACAGCAGGTAGGGCGTTTGCCTTGCACACGGCTGACCTGGCCGACCCGGGTTCGATTCCTCCACCCCTCTCGGAGAGCTCGGCAAGCTACTGAGTATCTCACCCACACAGCAAAGCCTGACAAGCTACCATGATGTATGCAATATGCTAAAACACAATAACAAGTCTCACAGTGGAGACGTTACTGGGCCCACTTGAGCAAATTGACGAATAACAGGGGAACAGTGCTACAGTGCAGATAAGAAAACAAGACAAAATCCTTGAGACTTTTTCTGGGAAGTGGGGAAGACACATCCCTTTAACAAAATAAACAAGTGAAAATTGTATAGTCAGGTAGTCAAAAACCATCTAGGAGAAACTAAAGTTAGGAATAGGCATTGTAACTTATGTGTGTTTGCTGAGATCAAAAGTGGTCCATGTTTTTTGTTTCGTTTCCCATGGGGGTCACACCTAGCAATGCTTTGGGGTTGCTCCTGGCTCTGCACTCAAGGAATTATTCTCTGTGAATAGTGCTCACTGCCTTTCTGGGCAAAGGTGCAAGTGCCTCTTTCAGATATAGAGGCAATGAGTTCCTGAATTGCTAATTTAAATTTTAATATACCAAATGATTTTCAAAAAAAAATTGCCAGTCATATTTTTATCCCTTCCCCTATAATCCCAGCTAAAACTGGGTATTATTAAAACTTCTAAACTTGAGACTAGAATGATAGTGCAGTGGGTAGGATGCTTGCCTTGCAAGCAGCTGACGTAAAGTTCATTCCCTGGTGCCCCACATGGTCCCCTGAGCCTGCCAGAATTAATTCCTGAATGCAGAGCAAGGAGCAAGCGCTGAGCACTGCCCGGTGTGGCTCAAAAAAAAAAAAAAAAAAAAAACCTACCGGTTTGAAGGGAAAAGATGATCTTGTTCTGGTGAGGAGTGACCCCTAGTGGTGCCCAGGGGACCATATGTGGTACTGGGATTTGAACAGGATCGACCCACACAAGGTTAAGTTCCTTACAGTCTGTATTACCTCTCCAGGCCTTTTCTTCTTTTTCTTATTTTTGGGAGGGGCAAAGTACTGTTATTTTTGAAATATATGTCTTTCCCAGAGAGATGAGCATTCTTGTTATTTTGGGGCCACACCTAGTGATGCTCAGGGGTAACTCCTGGCTCTGCACTCAGGAATTACTCCTCGTGGGCCCATAAGTGATCTGGGGATTGAACCTGGGTCAACGTTGTGTAAGGCAAGTGCCCTACCTGCTGCTATCTCTACAGCTTTCTTAATGCATTTTTATCACAGTTTAGGAGTATATACACACACACAGGGACACATATATACACGTGTGTGTGTGTGTGTGTATTTCAGCTGCTAGAGAGACTATATCATAGTGAAATTTGTAGAACTGGTTCTCCAACCACTCAAATAAATTAGACTCATTTGTCATCAAGTAAAAAATACCTGCCTTCTTTTCTTAAAATAAGCATGTTCATGTATGCCTGTATTATATCCCCTGGCGTTCTGAATTCTGTACTCTCTGAAGGGGTAAGACATAGAGCCTTGGGGCTGGAGCAGTAGCACAGCAGGTAGGCATTTGCCTTGCACGCGTCCAACCCAGGTTTGATTCCCAGCATTCCATATGGTCCTCTAAGCACCGCCAGGGGTAATTTCTGAGCACAGAGCCAGGAGTAATCCCTGTGCATCACCGGATGTGACCCAAAAAGCAAAAAAAAAAAAAATCATAGAGCCTTGCCAAGAATTTTTTTTAATGATAAAATTAAGTATTTTTTTCTCAAATTTTTTCTCATTTATTCATTAGAAAATTTGGAGTTGTGCATTGCAGCACAGTACTTAATAACTTAACTTCCCATTAGTCGTCGATTTGCTCAAGCGGGCGCAAGTAATGTCTCCATTTGTCCCTGTCGCGTGCTAGTGTAGCCCAATGGCATCTGTTCGCTCCGGGAACATGAAGGGCCTCAAACCGATCGTTCATGATCTTGACGAAGAAGTCTGACCATCTGGTAGGTGGGCGGCCACGTGGTCTTTTGACATCCCGTGGAATCCAGTCAGTAACAGCTCTAGTCCAGCGGTCGTATTTAAATCTCATTACGTGACCAGCCCATCTGATTTTCGACACCTTGGCAAATGAGACAGCGTCCCTGATTCTTGATCATCGACGGATGTCAGAACTCCGGATTCTTTCTCTCATTTGAGTGAAACGTGATATTCCAAGCATAGCTCTTTCTATTTTTCTTTGGGAGACCTGAATAGCGTTCTCATCTTGTTTGCGTAGGGCCCAGGTCTCTGAGGCATATGTTAATGCAGGAAGAGCAGTGGAATCAAAGAGATGTGCCCGGAGCCGGAGGTTCTTCATCCTCTTAGCTATTTCTTCGACGTTCTTGAAGGCGTTCCAAGCCGCTCTCTTCCTCCTGCGCAGCTCGGGTGCCAGGTCATTTGTCATGTTGACCTCTTGACCTAGGTACACATAGCTGTTGCATTCAGAGATGGTCGTTCCGTTGAGAGCGAATGGCGCGTCAGGAACAAGGCTGTTTCTCATAAACATTGTCTTCGTAAGATTCAGCTGTAGTCCTACCTTTCCACACTCACGGTCAAAGTCGGCCAGCATTTGTGCCGCTTGGCTGATGTTTGGTGTTATTAAAACAATGTCATCAGCAAAGCAGAGGTGGTGTAGTTGCCGATCATCTATCTTCACTCCCATTCCTTCCCATTCCAGTCGTCGCATGATGTTCTCGAGGGTGGCACCGAAGAGTTTTGGTGAAATGGTATCACCCTGCCGCACCCCTCTCTTGACATCAACGATCACTTCTTTGTAGAATGGTGAGATCCTGGTAGTGAATCCGCAATACAGCTCACGGAGGATCCTGATGTATTGGGCTTGAATGCCCTGATTGGCTAGGGCTTCAATGACCGCTTCCGTCTCAACAGCAGCACAGTACACCTCAGTAAGATTTGACATGCCACGGGAACTTTGACTTTTTTTTTTTCAATTTTTATTAGTGAAACACCATGAAGTACAGTTGTAGACTTACAAATTTTTGTGCTTGGGTTTAAGTTATACAATGATCGAGTACCCATCCCTCCACCAGTGCCCATTTTCCACCACCACTGATCTCAGTATCCCTCCCACCCTCCCATCCCCCTCATCCCACCCTGCCTCTGTGGCAGGGCATTCCCTTTTGTTTGCTGTGGTTTGCAAAGGAGGCATTGAGTGGCAGTCAAATTCGGTCTATAGTTTACTTTCAACATGCATCTCCCATCCTGGGAGGATCCTCCGAACACCCTTTACTTGGTGCTTCCTTCGCTATCTGAGCTGCCTTTTCCCCAAGCATGTGCAGCTGGCCTCCAAACCATGGAGTGAACCTCCTGGTACCTGTCTCAGCTATTCTTGGGTGTTAGCCTCCTATTTTGTTACTTTGTGTTCCCCAGATGAATACCATCTTTCTGTGTCTGTCCCTCTTTCTGACTCATTTCACTTAGCATGATACTTTCCATGTAGTACCACTTGTATGTAAATTTTGTGACTTCATCTTTTCTAACAGCTACATAGTACTCCATTGTGTAGATGTACCAGTTTCTTTAACCAGTCATCTCTTCTTGGGCACTCATGCAGATGTCATTTTGACTATACTTTTTTACCTCTCTGGGATATATTCCTAGGAGTGGTATTGCTGGGTCAAATGGGAGCTCAATTTCTAATTTTTTGAGAATCTTCCATACTGTTTTCCAAAAGGGCTGAACCAGTCAGCATTCCCACCAGCAGTGAAGGAGGGTCCCTTTCTCGCCATATCCACACCAACACCAGTTGCTTTTGTTCTTTTGGATGTGGGCCAGTCTCTGTGGTGTGAGATGATATCTCATTGTTGTTTTGATCTGCATCTCCCTGATGATTAATGATGTGGAGTATTTTCTCATTTGCTTTTTTGCCATTCGGATTTCTTCTGTGAGAAAGTTTCTGTTCATTTTGTCGCCCCATTTTTTGATGGGGTGACATTTTGTTTTTAAATAAATGGAAAGTTCCAAAGTAGTGATTTTAGAAGAGGAAGAGAAAGCTGGTTCTCAAACAGATCAGTTAGGAAGAGTACAAATCTAAACTTGATTCTCCTAAAATGGTCTTTGTCTCATAAATTCTGATTTCCATTGAGTTTTAAAGATCATTATAATGGTAGTGTCATTGCAGTATCAGAAAAGGAATGTAGCCATGCTAAGTACAGTCCTTTATGTGCACAGCTTTTTTAAAGGAATAAAACACAGGTGATGACATGGCGAGAATTCAGAGGCATGTTACATTGAATAAGCAGGTGTTATAGTATTTATATGTTTTATATATATATACACATATGAAATTTTTTTTATGAAGTAGTGAAAGGATATACCTCAAACTGTAAATAGCACTTTCTTCTTTTGGGGGTGGGGGGATCCTTTTTTGTCACATCCAGCTGTTTATTCAGGACTTACTCCTGACTCTCTTCTCAGGGATCACTCTTGGCGAGGTTTGGGTAATGAAATGGAGCTGAGGTCAGATGCATGCAAAGCAAGGACTCTACTTGCTGTACTATTGTTCTGGCCCCAGCACTTTTTTTGACAAGAGACAAGAATGTGGGGAAGGAGAGATTTTCGTTATTCTTCCTTAATCTTTATAATTTGAGTCCTTTATAGTTGAGAATATATTATATTTTTTAAAACATTTTAAGATGAGATGCTTAATTATTAGGAAAAATCACTATACTAAATGATCTCTATGGTTTCTGAGCTACGGCTTTCAAAGAACACAGGCAGTTACTGAAGATTTTAATGAGAATATTAAATTTTCATGTTCTAAATTATTTTTTATTTTAATTTTTATATTTTTTAGGTATGGAATATCAAGCAAATGATTAAGTTGACACAGGAACATATAGAGGCCCTATTGGACAAATTTGGTGGGGAACATAATCCACCATCGATCTATCTGGAGGTAAGCCTTTGAGTATCATTTGGTAGTAATTTTGAAAAGAAATAAATGAACTTAGATAAGCATTTGAACTGATAATATTTGTTGTCTCAGGGGGTAGAGAGAAAAACAGATATGAAAGAAGAATGACTTTGTCTTTATTTTCTTACTTATAAAATATATTATATAGTTTGGAAATTGTCAGAACTGTAGGGGAAGTCATAGATAAACTTCAAAAAATTAGCTAAAAATATTAGGAAGGAGAGAGAAAGCATTGTTTTTGTGGAAGTTGGCAAGCTAGTTGTATTCAGTAAGAGCGGAGACCTTTGTAAGTTGTCTTCCCCCCCCTCCCTCCCCTCCCCAAGACAAATTAAGGACATTACTCCCTTGGGGGGAAAAAATTTTTTTACATACTTAAATCACGTAATATTGCTGTTTAATAGTGCTTTGAGGCTTTTGAGGCTTTTGTACCCCACTTTATGCATACTTGTAAATCGATGGCATCAGCCTGTGTTTTTAACCCTGCAAGGTCGCAGTTGCTATTAAACCTCTAATAAGCTTTCATGGCTTCAGTTTTTCATAAGCCACTCAGGTCGCACTGCACATGGCTTTAGGGAATCCAGGCAGGCTTTCTGGCCCATGCGCCTCCCCAGCCCATAGTGCTCCCCAGCCAATAGTGCTCTCCAGCCCACACTGTTCCACGCTGCACTTGGCTGCTGCCTCTGTAGTCTGCTCAGCTAGAATCACTAGTTCTGCAGGGAGATAACCCCACATGACAGATGTATGGGATCAGGTTCCATAGATCACAGACTCCTGAACTATATTTCTAACTTACTAAGTTAATTGTCTTCTTAAAGGGCAAGTTAACCCTTTGGTGTTGTATGAGAAAGTGAATTTGTGTTTCTAAAATGCACTGCTTACCCTCTCTATGAGGCTTGTTCTGGGCATGCTGCCCGTTGCCCCTTAGTGTCAGCGATAGGACTAGAATTCACACCTCTGAACCCACTCGTCTATTTTCTAATGGCTCATGCTCTCTGCTTCTCTTGTATGTCAGAGGACGAACAAAGGAGGCAAATAGGCCTGATGAAAACTCTTGGAGAAAGTACAGTGGGGAGGGCGCTTGCTTGAACATGGCTCACCTGGGTTAGATCCCCAAAGTCTCATATGGTCACCAAAGTCCCGCCAGGAGTGATTTCTGATTGCAGAGCCAGGAGTAACCCCTGGGCATTGCCAAGTGTGCCCCGTACCCTCCTCCTTCTTAAAAAAAAAAAATCTAGTTCAGCCCTGGGTATCATATGGTTCCACAGCATCACCAGCAGTGACCCTGAGCTCAGAGCCAGGAGCAAAAAAGTCTTTGTTAGTCAGAATTAGACACAATAGCCAGCAGCTTTTCTGCCAGCCATGTCCATGGTTATGGAAGACTGCCTGTCCTACCTCACCTCAACCTCACTTAGATGTAATGCCATTGTGTTTTTCCACTGTCACTGAGATTCACTGCCATACCCCCGCTTACACCCCTCATGCATGCGCTCTCTCTCTCTCTCTCTCTCTCTCTCTCACACACACACACACACACACACTCATACACACTCTTCAGGCTTTTCATTGTTTGAGTTTTGTCTGACTATACAGAAAACCATACCATATAGGTCATACTATTCACTTTGTAGACTTTTATTCACCAATCTAACAATACACGCTCTCTCTATAGAAGGTATTGTAATGTGGGGTTAAGATGAGTCATGAAGTCCACACAAACCTTATATCTCAGTTCTTGTTGGGCCTTAATTTCTGCAGACAAGTAACCTAACCTTGCCCTACTGCTTTACCTCATTGTAAGATGAGAATGATGTCAAACATGTGGTAATTAAGGATGCTGATAACACACCGTTCATCAATCTTTTCTATCTATTTGCCTGTCTGATGTTTCAGATAAACGGAATCATACTCAATGTGATCTTTTGTGACTAGACATTTTCACATAACAGTGTTTTCTTATGCTAAAGCATCTATCAGTTCTTCATTCTTGTGTGTGTATGTGAAATGATGTTCTATCATACGAATGTATCATTTTGGTTTCTTATGTATCATTTGATGGACATTTGGATTAAGTACATTTTCTTTAAAACTACTATGAACAGTTAAATGCAAATATTTATGTAGACTTTTTTTCAGTCCTCTCAGTTATAGGTCTACTTTATTTTGTGTTGTAACTAATTTTTTTTACACTTTTTTTGGTTTTTTGATTTTTTGGGGGGCAGGGGTTCACACCCAGCGATGCACAGGGGTTACTCCTGGCTCATGCACTCAGGAATTACTCCTGGCGGTGCTCAGGGGACCTTAGGGATGCTGGAAATCTAACCGGGTAGGCCACATGCAAGGGAAACACCCTACCCACTGTGCTATTGTTCCAGCGCTGTGTTGTAACTATTTTAACTCTTTGAAGAACTACCCAACTGTTTTCCAATTCGTTCATCATTTAGAATACCATTCTGCTTTCAAGGTTCTTTTAGAATTAGTGACTTTAGTAAAACACCTTTTAAAATAGAATTATTTTTTTCCCCAGATATATTATATGTGCTTTCTAGTAATATTTTTTAGGACTATCTGCTAAATTACTATAGGTACAAATTCATTTGTCACAGCACACAAGATTGTTTCCTCTAAGTCCTCTTCTTATGTGTACATATATAAAAGGTAAAGGCCCTCCCGTTGATCGTCGATTTGCTCGAGCAGGCCCAGTAATGTCTCCATTGGAGACTTTTGTTGTTACTGTGTCTGGCATATCGAATACTCTCGGTAGCTTGCCGGGCTCTCCGAGAGGGGCGGAGGAATCGAACTCGGGTCGGCCATGTTGGCCGCTTGTAAGGCGAACATCCTACCGCTGTACATATATATTCAAATAGAATTCTGTCTCTAAGCAATATTTGATGGGGAAAGAGGCACATGTACCCATAATGATGTATAGGGTATTTGTATTTCCTTTTCTCAGTATATCTTATACCAAAAGATTGATCATTTTACAGGTCAAAAGTTTGTAGTACTTCAGCTACTTTGTAACTTATAATTTGTTAGCTATATTATAATGAGATTATAGTCAAAGATTTGAATTTCATGTTTCCTTTCATTACTGTCAGAAGAAAGTTGAGATTCATTGTAAGTTTTCTTTGTTTCATAGGCCTACGAAGAATACACCAGCAAGCTAGATGCCCTCCAACAAAGAGAACAACAGTTGTTGGAATCCCTGGGGAATGGAACTGATTTTTCTGTTTCTAGTTCAGCATCAACAGATACTGTTACATCTTCTTCCTCCTCTAGCCTTTCAGTGCTACCTTCATCTCTTTCAGTTTTTCAAAATCCCACAGATGTGTCCCGGAGCAACCCCAAGTCACCACAGAAACCTATTGTTAGAGTCTTCCTGCCCAACAAACAGAGGACAGTGGTGAGTCAGTTCTTTATGTCTTCATTGCCGCTGTCTTTTCAGAAAGACCAGAAGTTGAATTTGGAATACCATATCATTTCATACTCGGTGGCAATGCACGCACATATGGGAAAGACATTTATATGATGCCAACATCAGTGTTGTTTTTTTTTGTTTTGTTTTGCTTTTTGTTTTTGTGGGGTTTTTTTTTTTTTTTTTTTTTGGTCACACTCGGCGATGCACGGGGGTTACTCCTGGCTCTGCACTCAGGAATTATCCCTGGCAGTGCTCAGGGTACCATATGGGATGCTGGGGATCGAACCCGGGTTGGCCACGTGCAAGGCAAACGCCCTACCCGCTGTGCTATTGCTCCAGCCCCAACATCAGTGTTTCTTAAGTGAAACAAATTTTATTACCTTTAATATCAAATTTGACATTTTATTTACAAACCTGAACCACACTCAAATGTAATAGTAAAGTCAGAATTTCAAGATTTGTGCTTTATTTGTTGTGTAACATCTTTGGTAAGAAGGACTCTTTACCCTTAAGTGTGAGTTTCAAAGAAAAGACATGGGGGCACACATGGGACTTGAGCGTTTGGTGGCCAAGAGCCACCTCCCCAGACCGGATGAAGGTGTTGGATGGACAAAGGACGAGGGGAATGGAGAAAGGTGATGGATGGACAAAGGATGAGGGGAACAAGGGCCCCTGGCTGGTTGGTAGTCGATTTCTCTCTCCTCACCAGAGTAGTCTGATCTCTCCCCTTATAGCAAAGTCGCACAGTCATAGTCGTAGTTTTGGTCGTAATCCCAGTCATTATAGTTCCATCATCCTAGTCTCCTTATACACCTCAAATTCTTCTCCTAGTCTTTATCTTCCTTATAGTTCTCAAAGTCTCCAAAGTCCTTTCTTTCCCCTTACAGCATAGTTATATAGAAATCATGAAGGGTGGGGGGTACATATAGGTGGGGTTGAACACTGTTATAACAACAGAGGTAAAGCCACTCCTTGGGGGAAGTTCTAGGGGATTAACTCCAGGACAAAATCTCATCTGAGGTTCAGCACCCCAGATTACTAAAAGATCCAGTCAAGAGCGGGATTCCATCCAGGATGTATTGCTTTCTCCTTTCCTCAGCTAGTATTCCATTTAAACAATCATAGTAAATTTACTTCTTATAATATTTCTTGTCATTTTGTATGAACACAGAGATATATTAAGCTTAAAGGTTGGTTCTTCCTGGGGACATCTCACCATATATCCCAGACTACAGTCCTCAGACCAGGTTACTCTTTCCTAATCCCAGCAGGGTTCTTACTCAGTTACTTCTTTTTGGGTCATGACAGAATTTTTCCATAACCATGCTCTTAACTTACTATACTTATGGTGCTTAGCTTGACCCCTTTCGATGCCAGGGTAGCTTACAACTTTCCCTGGGTCCATCCAGTTCCTTCGTTGGGACCCTGCTTTTGGAGTGCTCAGAACTAAAGGCAACTGAGGTTTAAGTAAATATGGATGCCCAGGAGTAAATATTATTTTGGAGACAATTAACGCCCATGTTACAAAGCATAACATAAACTGTCTTCCTGTGTCTATACAAAAAGGACACTGCTAAACCGTGCAAATGACATAACGGAAAGAGAAAAGGAGTATAGAATTATTAGTGCTTGATGGAATTGGGTGTGCCTCAGGGACACTGTTATAAGAATAATAAACCTAAGCTCCCTGAGGGAAGAGCAAGAAAAACCCAATGTTCTCTAACACTTGAGAAATTGCTAGTTAGTTTTATTATAAAATTATGATTTTGCTATTTCATTTTATTATGTTGTCTGTGTGGTGCTTGTTATTGTACAAGATTTCGTACATGTGAACCATATGCTCTACCACTGAGCTGCATCCCCACTAAATTTTGGGAGTTTGTTATACTTAATATTTTTCTTGTGTGAATAATCTTTCATTGGTGACCATTAGTATCAATTTATGGAGCAGAGCATTCTTAATCTTTCACAGCAACGAAATCTGCAGAATTATTATGGGTGGTCTGTGCTCTTGAAGTGTATCAGGTGTTTCTGTGGACTTAATAAAGAACACACCCATATAAGTAATTTTTATAATTATAATAAAATTATTAAAAATTACTTACAATTACTTACATGGTTTCATTGGACAGTAATAAAATACTTTTTTCCATTTTCAAGTACAGGTGAGGCTAAGTTATTTTTAATTTCAGTCAGCACTGGTAGTTATGCTCGTTCTTCTGGAGATGGTTTGCTGCCCTGCACTGGAGTGACCGCCAGTGATTAGGGTGGGTTTGTTACTCCTTGCAGCAAAGGCATGTGAGTGTGTGGGACAACAAGACTGACCCTCCAGCCACTTTTACAAAGATAGTTGAAACTCTTATGTTTGTATAAAGTTGAGCTTCTTCTCTTCAGCAGAAGGGTAAACTAGAAGAAAATCTATTCACCAGCATTCATAAATGACAGTGAAACCTATCTTGTCTTTGCCCAGGCTTAAAGTAAAGCTTAATTCCTTTGTGAATTCCTAACTTCTTCTCATGCTAGTGTTAGGTTCATAGTTATACCACTGCATTGTCAGGAAGTTGATCTAGGGCCAAAGAGATAGTTCATCTGGCCAAATCACTTGCAAAACAAGCTTTATATGCCAGGAAAGGTACATATTTGATCACTGTCATGGCTTGGTCCCTCAAGTACCATTTGCTGTGACCCCGCCCCCCCAAATGAAGAAAAGGAAAAAGGAAGTTAGCCTAATAAAACAAATTCAGGAATGGTAATGGTGCTCGGTCACAGGGTAGAAGCAAAGGCAAACCCTCCCTTAGTTTGTCTCATGGAATTTATAGATATTTTCCCTCTGACAAGTTCATAATCCCTTTACGCAGTGCACAATGAAGCATTTGGCATTAGTGAGTTAAAGCATTTAAAAAGGACCTTCTGCCTGGTCCCCCCATTTCAGGTGAGGCTCGCCTCCAGCTGATAGCACTGGGCCTATTCCGGAACAGGAGGCGGAGCCCTTCCTTACCGGGTGCGTCTCAGCAGCCTCTATACATCCCTGCCCCATTTTTTTTTCTTTTTGGGTCACACCCAGCGATACTCAGGGGTTATTCCTGGCTCTGCACTCAGGAATTATTCCTGGCGGTGCTTGGGGGACCATATGGGATGCCGGGGATTGAACCCAGGTCGGCCGCGTGCAAGGCAAACGCCCTACCCGCTGTGGTATCACTCCGGCCCCGCCCTGCCCCATATTGAGAGCCCGTCTCACAGCTCCTGCATGCCCTTCTTCTTGCTGATAAGACCGAGAGCAACCTTCAGCTTAATCCCTCAGTATCTTCCACAGTGGGAAGCTACAAAACCTCACCCCCAGCAAAGAAGGAACGCTAGGAAACCATGTGGAAAACACATAGAAGCCCACAAAGCTCCGGGAGCTGGGTTTTATAGTCTCTGGGTCTTGGCCGTTGATGGGACCACCTGGCACCGGCAGCAGCTGGTGGGTGTAACGCCTGCCTACTAGAAGATGGGGGATCTGGGTGGAGAAGGCCCAATCCTGATCCGAGCAGGCTTGGAGATCTCAGCCCTGGACCCGCATGCCTAGGTTCCTCTGCCGGTTCTTTCATGCATGAGGCTTGTCCGGACGTGTGGAGAGTGGTCTCAGCATGGCAGTGGCTGGTTCTGGAGGTCTTTGGCTGCTGGGGCTCTGCTCAGGGAGGGGAGGGAAACTCAACCCACCCCCCACCAAGGGACCCCGGTGATATAAACACCACCAGTAAATCCTCACAGTGTCTTTAGTGACACACGATGATAAGTTCAATGAAACAATAGCACAGGGAGTCAGCGAAGCACAGGAAAGTAGGAGAGTCAAAATGAGAAAACTACTACAATCAAAACTGAAGAATGTGGTGATTTTTTTTTTTAAATCAGTAGACCTGCTCCAATTTCCCAGTACTCCTGGAAGCACTGGCAGTCACCCTCATGAACCAACTCCAGTACCACAATGCAAGGTCTTCTACTGGCCTTGCTTCAGAGACTCATAAATAAATCTCAAAAGATTTCAAAAGCCACAGTTAATCTCAGACCCATGCAAGACTGAACAGACCGTGGTAAATCAGAGGGGTTGGGTTAGCCTGATGCCTGCCCAAGCAGAGCCCCCAGCTGCTACTTGCTTCCACAGTCCAAAAGCACTGCCATGCCCCCAGCCTGACTTCACAATCTCAGGACAGACCTCACCGAGTATAATCTGCTGAAAATTTGGGTAATTGGGGTTTTGTGACTAAATCTCCAGGCTTTATAGGGATCTGGTTATACTACCTCCCCACCTCCCTGTACTTCCAGAAGCCTTGGCAGTCATATCCACATTCCAGAGCTGCCACCCTGTTAAAAAGCTACTCCAGTCTTACTGTCTCGATAAAAAATACTTAACGTTGGAGGCCAGAGTGATAGTGCAGCGGGTAGGGCATTTGCCTTGCATGCAGCTGACCTGAGTTCAATCCCCAGCATCCCATATGGTCCCCCAAGCACTGCCAGGAGTAATCCCTGAGTGCAGAGCCAGGAGTACCCCTGAGCTTCTCTGGGTGTGACCCAAAAAGGAAAATATATATATATATATATATATATATATATATATATATATATACTGAACGCCCTGAACAAACATAATGATCTCTAGTACCTGTACTGTAAGCCATAATGCACAAATGGAAAAGGAGAAAAATGCCTCCCATAGAAGGAGGCTGGGTGTGGGAATTGGGAAATGATGGGAAGGAAAGAGGGTACATTGGTGGTGAGAAATGTACACTGGTGAAGGGATGGATATTGGATCATTGTATGACTGAAATCCGACCATGAACAGCTTTGTGACAGTCTACCTCATGGATATTCAATTTAAAAAAAAATTTTTTTTAAGTAGTATGTGGAGTTCATGCCTGCTTCAGTCAGCTTAATGAGTAGCTAAATAAATAGCAGTGCTCCTACATTTAAAAAAAAATGAACAGCAGAATAACAGAAACTGAGAA